TCTGCATTTTATTCATTTTTGTCACGCTTCCCTCCGTTCCACTGTCTCTGCCTCCCAGCCTCTGAACTCTGAACTACCCAGAACCCCACTCCGAATCACATGACCACCGATCTCCCTCACATGACTCTCCACTGGTCTGCCTCACCTGACTACTGATTACACACACCTGTTCCTTGTTCCGTATGCTTGTTAGTTTAATATATAAGCCCTGGCTTTAGCTTAGCTTTTTTGCGAAGTATTGCCTTTGTTTCCAGAGCATTCGTGGACAACGGCGTTTTGGGGCCACAGTTAATAAAAATAAAAATAGCAGACTTCGAGAATACGGTATGATATTTCAAAAAAATGAAGTCATAATATTTAGAACAAAAGTCGTATGATATTTCGAGAATAAAGTCATAATATTTCCAGATAAAAAGTCGTAATATTTCGGGGAAAAAAGTAGTTATATTTTTGAAAGTCATTATATTTTGAGAATAAAGTTGTAGAATTACGGCATTAAAGACAATGATAATGTGAATCGATCATTTTGATCAATTCTCAAGGATACAATGAGTGAGTGGAACTCCGGCGCGTTCAGCATCTTTGCCGCCGCCAGTACATCAACCAAGACCCCAACCTGTTATGGCAGCCCCCCTACAGTTAGCCCACTTTATCCTCAAAATATTACGACTTTATTCTCGAAGTCTACTATTTTTATTTTTATTAACGGTGTCTCAAACGCATCATACTATCAAGCCTTCTATCTGTCTGTTTGCCTTTCGTGTATGACCACTGCCTTTTGTTTTTTGTTTTTCGACTTTGCCCTTTCAGTTTTGTTGTGCTTTCTGGTTTGACCTTATTTCTGATTTTGGACATTGCTTTTTGGACCCTCAGGGTTACTGTTTTCGTCTATTGGCTTTTGACCTTGGACAGGCTGACCTTGATTTTGGATCCACCCTTTGGTAACGAACCCATTTTACTGTACTGTGGTCTGCGAGTGTCTGAAATCTGTCCAAGCCTGACAGTTTTACTGCATTTGTGACAAAAATAATTCTCTCTCCACAGTTCTGTTTCAGGTACATATAGTCCCAATTTCTACACTGTATAAATGTTTATGCATCGGCAGAAAATACTGGATATTGGCATTGGTCCATGATCCCATTTTAGTGCATCCCTAATAAAAGTTGTAACTTGGAGCACAGAAGCAGTTCAGTACAGTAAGAGCAAAAACCTAGCCTCAATTAAATTTATAGTTTTGAATGCTATGTAGAGCGGAACAGTATGAAGGACATCTGGCCATTAGGGACACGGATGAGAACTGGATCATGACAACGCGAGGGGTCATACTCTTTTAAAGTAAGACTCTAGACGATCTGGTAATGTATGTAATATTATGTTATCTGAGAAGTTAATCTTGACATTCCCAAAAGTTTTTACGTTTACATTGATGGCATTTGGCAGACACTATTATTCAAACCGACTTACAATGTAATGATCTTATCTTGCTGATGTAGGTGAATGTAGTGTTCGGAGTCTAGCCAAAGGACTTTTACTTAAACAGCATGCTGTTGGGCTTTTAAAAATAAAATTTGGCATTCTAATATTCTTCGAATCCAGTGAGGGAAATGCACATTTGAATGTTCAACCTTATTTCCAAAAAAGTTGGGATGCTGTGCAAAATGTATATAAAACAAAATGCAATGATGTGCAAATCATTTAAACCCTATATTTCATAGAAAATAGTACAAAGACAACATATCAAATGTTGAAACCTGAGAAATTGTATTGTTTCTTGAAAAATATATGCCCGTTGAATTTGATGCCAACAACACTTTCCAAATCCACTTTCACTTTCCAAAGTTGGGACAGGGGAAACAAATGGCTGGTAAAGTTGTGTAATGCTAAAACACCTGGTGGATAGTTGGCAAGAGGTCAGTAACATGACTGGGTATAAAAAGCATCCCAGAGAGGCTGAGTCTATCAGAAGTAGAGATGAGGAGGGGTTCACCACTGTCTGAAAGACTGTGCAGACAAATAGTGCAACAATTCAAGAATAACATTTCTCAGCATTAAATAGCAAAGAACTATTTGCTTTTCATCATCTACAGTACATAACATTTAAAATATTCTGGAGAAATCTCTATGCTTTGGGCCCTCAGATGGCTCTGCATTAAAAACAGACATGATTCTGTAGAGGAAATCGCTGCATGGGCTCAAACACTTCTGAAAACCACTGTCTGTGAAAACAGTTCTTCGCTGTATCCACAAATGCAAGGTAAAACCACACAACGCGAAGAAGAAACCAGATATAAACAGGATCCAAAAATGCTGCCACCTTCTCTGGGCCCGAGCTCATTTTAAAATGGAAATCATGGACACTGTGTCTGGGCTAAAAACCTTCAGGCTTGTTATCAGTGCACAGTTCAAAAGCCAGTATTCATGACTGTATAGGGGGCATTAGTGCACATGGCATGGGTGATGTGCACATCTGTGAAGGCACCATTAAGGCTGAACCATATACATATAGACAACGTCTTTTTCAGGGAAGGCCTTGATTATTTTAGCAAGATAATGTCAAACCACATTCTGCATGTATTACAGCAGCCAGCAGCATTGCTCCATATTAAAAGAGTCTGGGCACTAAACTGGCCTGCCTGCAGTCCAGACTCGTCACCACTGAAAACATTTGGCGCATTATGAAATGAAAATTATGACAAAGGAGACCCCAAACTGTTGAGCAGCTGAAATCCTATTTCAAACAAGAACAGGAAAACATTTCTCTTTCAAAACTACAGCAGTGTCTCCTCAGTTCCCAAACACTTACAGAGTGTTATTAAAAGAAGAGGTGATGAAACACAGTGGTAAACAGGCCCCCGTCCCAACTTTTTTGGAATTCGTTGTTGGCATCAAATTCAAAATGGGAATATATGGCACTGGACAGGTTGTTTGAGTTTAACTTCAGTGTTGCAGTTCTTGAATACAATCTCAAGTCCTTAAACAAATTATCTCATTTATTATTTTTATTATTATTTTCATTATCTGTTGTCGTCGTCGTCGTCGTCGTCGTCGTCGTCGTCGTCGTTGTCTTAGCCTCAGTTAAGGAGGACTTGTAGATTGCAGCTATTGGTAACTGGCATTACAATCAAAACCTGCTCATGTTTTACCTTATACTATCAGTCTTAATACTGAAATTGAACTCATTCATTCAAAGACTAAATCATTTTTTAATATTTAAAATGAAATCTGGTGTCAGATAATGAGGAGATTTGCAGATCACTGCCCTCTTCATTCATTTTTTTTTTGTGAGTAATTTCATTTCCCAAGTGTTTCTGATGTCTGTAAAATCCACAGTAATACACTTTGCTTATCTGAACCACAGCAAATTTAACTTCAGAACCAGCTTGAAGCTGTACATAAATTCTGCCTCATCTCTATAACTGACACCTTAGAGACCACATCTAATGTCTGGTGAGAAAGGTGAGAGAGGCTAAGTTCAGTTTTTGGTGGAGTAATTGTGAGAACATTAGTGAGCTAACTAGCTCGCTAACCTGGTGTAATTAAAGTAGGTGAGCTTATTACCCTATGCATTCATTTGCCACCTATTGTCTTATTCTTTTACTGTCAGTGACTGTGTACCTACAAAGTGCACCTAGACTATACACTGATTAGCTATAACATTAAATCCACCTCCTTGTTTCTCCATTTTATCAGCTCCACTTACCATATAGGTGCACTTTGTAGTTCTACAGTTACAGACTGTAGTCCATCTGTTTCTCTGCATAATTTGTTACCCTGTTCTTCAATAATCAGGACCCCCACAGGACCACCACAGAGCAGGTATTATTCAGGTGGTGGGTCATTCTCAGCACTGCAGTGACACTGACGTGATAGTGGTGTGTTAGTGTGTGTGTGTGTTGCGCTGGTAGGAGTAGATCAGAGCACTTAATGCAAATGGGTGTGTGTGTGTATAAAACGGGATGCTTACATGCTTTTGTGGCCATATATGTTGCAATGTTTAATGTAGAAATCTGTTAAGGATATAGTAAGGGTATAATATATCCAATTAGAGAGAATATAAGGTATAATATATCTAAGAGTAATGTAATATATCCAATTAGAGAAAATATATCTAAGGGTATAATATATTAAATTATACCTTTTACCTTTGTATTTTCTATAATATATCGATGGGTAAAAAGATACTGTATCCAATTAGAGAGAATATAAAATTATAAACCCATTACAGAGAATCTGTTGGCAGCAATTAGTGATGTTCAACTAGCAATTCTTCATCTAGCTGGATTACATGGTGATGGATTTCAACAAAAACAACTGGGCTTTATCAAGCAGTGATTATTAAGCCACATTCATGTGTTCCTTTATGCTCTGTGCTTTCCTGAGAGGTTTATGCTCATAACAATCCTGATCTTGCTGTACTTTCAGTATTACTCAGCTGTAGTGACTGCATGCTCACCCAGAACGCCTCAGAGACACTTAATGGGACAAAAGTTAAACTTAAAGTTGACTAAATTAAAAAGTAATGAACGACACTTACGTTACCCAACTAGATATTTCTGCGGCCATGTGAAAAATAAGGTGGATAAAAAATGGGAGGTCGTAACATGGAAAAAAAATTCAATTTACCATCTTATGCCAAAGGCATCACTTTAAACAGCTGCAAAACCTGCTAATTAGTTTGTCAATAAATCACTTTTTTGTTTTCTATAATTTCAGTTACATATTGCTTTTCCCAAAAGACTTTCTCACCTCAGCATCTACAATGAAACATTTGCACTGAATGTTGTGAACTCAAATGACACTTTCCATGAAATGACCTGAATAACTGAAGCCGCTGTTGCTGCGATGTGATGTGTTCAGTCTGTGGAAATAACTTGATGTTTAGGTTCCTGTGAACTCTGTTCAGGTTCATTTGGACCCAGATACCCTTATTGTGTAATTCACACAATGGACCCTGGGCTAATATTGTGCTTGGTCTTGACCTGGGCTTGGTTTGTCTATGACTACATATTGCATCTAGAGGTCTTGACTAGAACAGACTAGAATTTAAACACCCCAGGAAATGAGAAGCAATCTCCGTTCTTATCATTTGTTCCAGACGAATCAGGTCCATTACTGATGTTCATCTTTTAAATGAGTGAGTGGATAAATTAATAGGATGAATGCTCATCATTTCAAACCATGACATTCATGTCCCATGCTTTGTATTTGCTTTGGTTAATTATTAATTTCATCTCTGATCGCAGTCAGAACAGTATGGCACATGTTGGAATTTGAGCTCACTTGTACAGTCGGCTTGCGCTCTTCAGTTTCATGCTCTTTTCATGCACTTCATACTACCCAAGGTAATTATAATAAATTTCTATTGTAGTTCATTCTTAATTTGCATACGTCAAAAATGTATGGGTAACGATAGGCTTGTTGATGTGTGCTAGAATAATTTGTGATAGAATAAGAAACAACCTGAAGTATCGCAGAGGATGTGCTTGGTGTTCTGTTTTCTGAAATATACATCAAATACCTGGACAATCTCAGAGTTCTATCATCATAACATTGTATATGAAATAATGCACCATCTAAAACGAATAGTGCCGGTCCTGAAATCTGATTAGCTGAGCCGTGTTCAAAGCCTCACGACACCTGAACTCTGTATTACTGCACCACGGCACCAAGGCTACGTTCACATTACCAGGTTGAAGTGGCACAAATCCGATTTTTTTGCCCTAATGTGACTCAGATCTGATGTTTTCAGAGCTGTGTGGACACGCAAATCTGATCTTTTCAAATCCAACCTGAGCCACTTTCATATGTGGTCCTAGATCCGATATGCATCCGATTCGTGGCCATGCGACCTTAATGTGACGCTCGGATCGGAAGTCATGTGCTTTTTTTCCACTGCGCGTGTGCAATCGTTCAGCGTTACCATGGCGGCAGCAGCACTGAACAGAAGCAGTGGAAAAGCAGCTCATCTCACCTAATCGTAGTTAATTATCTTCTCAGCGAAGCTCGTTCTGCTCGTTAGTTTGTGCTGATGACGCACGTGATTCATTCACGTGACGTTACTGAGTAGGATGTGCTCATGAGGGTCGTTTCAGGATGCCGGTTCGTTCACATTAATGACAGATTTGAATCACTTACCTAAACGAGTGTGAACCATCGTGTCAGAGATTGGATTTGAGCAAAAAATCACATTTGAGCAACGAGGCTTGTAATGTGAACATAGCTGAAAAACCCTCTGCTGTTAATGGATTGTTCTCTAACTCTAACGCTGATCGCACTGAGTGTACTGATGAAGTAAAAACTTGTTTTTGTTTAAAATGAGTGGCTGAAAACTTGTTTTCTTAACTAGAACTAGGCTGGTCAGCTAGCTAACAGGCTTAAAGATAGGGAACATGCTAAACAACTCCAACATGAATATCACAGGCTTGAATTAAAGCACTCACAATATGATTCACTGAAAAACGGCAATATAAAAGACTAAAGAATGCCACCTGAATGACTTACACGCTTCAGATGTTTTAGAAATTCTAGCTTCTGCTGTCAAATAGTGACTGCTTGTCGAGTGTGAATGTGGACGAATCCCAAAGTACCATTTTTAGCAATATTTTGCATTGTTGGGCTGCAGGAGTCAGTATTTAAACTCCTATGTAGTGCACTATGTAGGGAGCAGGGAGCCATTTGAGATTCAGCCCCTGCCTGAGAAATATGGGCGTCGTCAGACTGGCAGAAGACTCACGGTGGTAATTTGGTGACCAAAAAGTACTTATAAACTGAAAGTAATTGCATTAAACAGTGCTCTGTTCTCATATGTTCACTGTTATACAAAAAAAAAGTTTAAAAAAAATCAAGAAATGTCTGGTTTACGGTGATTGGCGTTGGAAGGTTGTTCTCCTCATTTAGCTGTCAGTGGTTGCTTAGCAATGATACCGTACTCTAAAGGAACTACAATAAGCCACTCAAGGCAGTGCATTACTGCAATTTTAAAAATGTTAATATCACAGTAACCCATGGCCTCACATGGCTTATTGCCTTATGTCTCATAAGTAGACAAATTCATAAATACTTAATACTAACCTGTGTGTTTCTTTTGAAGGTACAATGAACTCTGTTTTGCATAAGAGACAATCCTCCATTGTTGGACTATTTCTCTCTTTGTCTGTCTTCATCCTGAGCTGTGAGAGCGGCAAAGTTCTGGTTTATCCAGTGGACGGCAGTCATTGGGTCAACATGAAGGTGCTGATCGAGGCGCTGCACTCCAGGGGTCATAACATCACTGTGATCCGACCCAGTTCCAGCTTTTACCTAAAAGAAGACCCCTCACTGTTCACGTCTATCGTAGTGAATGATGGCATTGAAAATGTGGGTGGATTTTTTGAAGAGTTTTTAAGTTCCATGATAGACATCCAGAAAGGTGAGGCGTCTGTGCTGACCTTCTTGAAAACTCAGATGGACTTTTTCTACATGATCTCCCATGCACACTTTGTCACATGTAATACAATGAGTAAGATCATTGAGGATAAAGAGCTGATTAAGAGGCTTCAAGATGAACAATATGATCTTGTTCTGACTGATCCAGCCATGACAGCTGGGGTAGTTTTGGCCCGTTATTTGAAATTACCCCTTGTTTTAAATGCACGCTGGATCACCAGCGGTGAGGGTCACTTTGCCATTGCACCTTCGCCACTGTCCTACATACCTATAACAGGTACTTGCCTCTCAGACCAAATGACTTTCTTTCAAAGAGTTAAGAACAGCCTTTTCTATGCAATTGTTCTTTTCCAAGATAAATTTGTGGTGGGGCCACATTACAAAGCTCTATGTGATAAATACTTTGACGAGGACTGTGACATTGTCAGCTTCCTCCAGGAGGCTGATATTTGGCTCATGAGGCTCGACTTCGTGTTCGACTTCCCCAGACCCACCATGCCGAATGTTGTTTATATGGGTGGATTCCAGTGCAAGCCTTCAAAGCCCCTCCCTGAAGACTTGGAGGCTTTTGTGCAGAGTTCAGGAGAACATGGCTTCATCATCATGTCCTTGGGAACACTGATAGACAGTCTTCCAGCTGACACAGCAGATGAAATTGCTGCTGTGTTCGCAAAACTACCTCAGAAAGTCATCTGGAGGCATCTGGGACCAAAACCTTCCACTCTGGGAAACAACACTCTGCTGGTGAACTGGATGCCACAGAACGACCTCCTGGGACACTCCAAGATCAAGGCGTTTGTAGCCCATGGAGGAACCAATGGAGTCCAGGAGGCCATCTACCACGGAGTGCCTGTGCTCGGCATCCCTTTGATCTTCGATCAGTTTGATAACCTCGTCCGGATTCAAACAAGAGGAGCGGCAAAAATTCTCGAGTTGTCTCAACTGAATGGCCAAACTTTTGAACAGATGCTACTGAAAATTCTCAATGATGACTCTTATAGGACCAACATGCAGCGACTCTCCAGTCTACACAGAGACCAGCCTATGAAACCTCTAGACTCAGCTGTCTTCTGGATTGAGTATGTTATGAGGAATAAAGGAGCCCCTCACCTGCGCACAAAGGCCTATAGGATGCCTTGGTACTCCTACCATTCAGTGGACGTGATTCTGTTTCTGCTTAGTATAGCAGCAGTGCTGACATTCACCACAGTAGTATTCATTAGATGTGTCTGTCGTCGAGCGTGTGGTAAAAGAAAAGTGAAAAACGAGTGAATATGGTACTACCAGTAATGTTCTACACTCAAATTAAGCACAATCCTGGAGAACCGCAGGACAAAACTGCTATTTATGTAGTATAAAATAAGTCATACAATGTTAATCCTGGAGAAAAGTCACTGAAGTGTCACATTTGACACGATGCACTTTGACCTTTACTAAGATTTTGTGTTTTATGTTAACATCTACTCTGACCTATTACCTAAATCTTTGAAATGAATAATCAGTCAGGATTACCTAAGGAAAAACAATGTCCACTGCAGCTGTACAGTACACTGTTGTCATATATTCCACTATCACCTTCAGTAGATAGTAATAAAATGTCTAGTAAATTAAAGGTTTTACCACCACTCATCCTGTTTTTATGTTTATGACTTGTACTCAGATATGAAAACTGATTATTGATGTAACAGCAAACATGACTTTCTAGTGAAAAAACATTAGCATTAAGCTAAAAAAGCATCCAGAAAGCATCCAGAAAGCATCCAGGTGAACAGAATTATATTGTTTTCTGCCAGTGCTGAAATTTGGTTGTACATTCATTTTAATTTTTTATTTTTTGTATCGATGGGCCCAATAAATCTGTATGTTAATGCCAGTTTAATATTTTTTTCACTACCTTACACTTTAAAAAAAAAAGGGTTCCACAATAAGTTCTTTGGGTAATGTCATAGAATAATAGTTCCCAAACATTTTAGTCCAGTAGCCCCTCAGACCCCCCTCACTCTTTACATATACAGTGCTCACAAGTATTTTTTATTTATTTATTTTTTTTTTTTTGAATTAATTAATCTTTTAATATATTATGCAGGACTTTTATTTTGTACCACATTAACCTGTAGCTCTTTTCTTTTTTAACCCATTTTCTCTACTTATTCCTTGACAACTGCCTCACGCCTTCATCATATCTGATGGATTTTAAACAGTATCTCACCTCATAGCAACCCTTACTTTCATGTATTGTTGAAAACCTGCATAATTTCAATAGAATCCCACCAACAACTGGTTTGTAACTAGTTAAAACTATTATTTTCAGAGGATCTTAACACTATTCAGACAAAGCAATGACTATTGACATTTCACAGTCTGCAGGTAAAAAAGTCAGGAAATGAGCTCTATTAGTGATATTTTTCCTATGTTTGCATTTCTGAGTCTATTTCCTCACAGAACAGAAAAAAAATGTCCACATGTGGTCTAGAGGGACTCTTCATGCATGTCAGCTTATGTGTGAAACTGGCCAGGAAACAGGCCTGAACTGTTTATCTCAACTTTATTGTTATAAGCCCACCGCCTCAGTCAAACAGGAGTGGGCTTGTATTATTATGTGGTGTGTGGCTTTGCTGTCACATACTGCAGTTTTACTGTGAACAATGTTTGGAAAGAAAGAACCATCAGAGGTTACAAAGCTGGATTTATTGGCTGGTAATCAGACTTCACTCAATTTAAGAGACTCTCTGTTGAACAATGTTGCTGTTGATGAGTTCAGGATTTGTTGAAGCTGAACCAGTTTCAGAGCCTATACCCCTCAGGAATCCCTACAACTGGCTTTTGATACAGAAAGTGTCAGATAAGTGACTTACAAGGTTGTGCTGAGTTAACTGAACACTAAATTATTATTCTGCAAATTTACAGTGACTGGTAAATCTGTAATTAAAATGTACAGCACTGTAATTTCTTATCATAATTACACATTTCAAATGCAGTACTAAACTCTCCTTTTATAAAACTGCATATTACAGAAATCAGCAATATTCTCTTTTCTGAATGACACTTTTGCACACACATATTAAGAAATAAAATGAAAACTGCAGTTTCAAAATGACAGTAAAGTTGAATGTAAATACATTTTAAGAGTCAAAAATCCTAACAAAGGAATCACACATTATCTAAGCTGCTTAACAAAGGAATCAGTTGTTTCATTATAGTTTTTCAAATACAAAAAATAGCTATTCTTTCCAAAGTTAACAGAAAAAAAAAAATATATATAGTACAATCATGCTTTACAAGCCCCAAAAGTCAAGCTTTAAAAAACAGGAATCCTAAATCTGTGTTTTCTTTTCTAATTAGGTAAATTTCATCTTGCAGGCAAAGAGTAAACTTGTACTAAGTAACCCTTGTGTGGTGTTCAGGTCTGTGGGACCCATTTTCAATGTTTATCAAAAGAAAAAATGACGTGATTTATTAATATTTCAACCTCAGATTCTTGGCCTTTTGATCATTTTATGTGAAGAACATTTAAAATAACACATTTTCAGTGACTTCACACTGTTCACCCCCCACACATTTATATTACATGTGATGTTTGGGTTCACTGAACCCACGGGTAGTAAAATTGTGGACATATGCAACACACACAAAATAAAACTCCGCCCCTGTTGTATAGGCTGGCATCAACAGGCTATGTTCAATAAGGCTGACGTGTTGTGTGGTTGGCTGGTGTTTTTTAGACATAAATGTTTTCAATTTCTTATTAATTTTTCATTTAGATTTGTTCAAAATAAACATGTTTTTCCACCCATATGTTGATATTGCTTTTTCCTGTTAATGTTAATTAGTCCTGTTAATAAAGCCATCTTTAATTTTGTTCATACTGTGAGGTTAAAAGCATAAAACAGTCAGTACATAGCAATGTTTAATGTAGAAATCTGTTAGTACAGGTATAATGAGGATATAATATATTAAATTAGAGAGAATATAGAGTATAACCCACTACAGAGAATCTGTAAGCAGCAGGTGAAGTTCAATTAGCGATTCTTCATCTGGTTGGATTTTATGGTGACTAATTTCAGCAAACATGACTGAGTTTCTTTATCAAGCAGTGATTATTAAGCCACATTCATGTGTTCTTTTATGCTCTGCACTTTCCTGAGAAGTTTATACTCATAACACTCCTGATCCTGCTGTACTTTTGTTTTACTCAGCTGTAGTGAAAGCAGCAAACTACATGCTGTCCCAGAATCCCTCAGAGACATTTAATGGGACAGAAGTTGACTTAGTTAAAACAGTAATGAATGAAACTAATGTTACCAACCAGATATTTTGGCCCTGATTTTATAATACCATGGTCATGCAAATATATATAGTGCATAAAAAAGTGAGTTTTTGAAATTTGAGAAAATTAGATTTTTTTTCTTGCAATAAATCACATTTTTTGTTTTCTATCATTTCAATTACATTTTGTTTCTCCCAAAAAAACAGACTTTCCCACCTCAGTATCTACAATGAAACACTGCGACGAATGCTGTGAACTCAAATGTCACTCTTTCCATGAAATGACTCAGTCACTGGGTTGGAACATGAAGCCACTGTTGCTGTGATGTGTTCAGTCTATGTAAATCACTTAATTTGAAGTTCAGTGGCCATATTACAGAAAATTGACAAGTCTGAGATCATATCTTATCTGCTTTGTTGTCATGGCAACTTCAGTTAAGACTGAATTTAGGACAGAAGCCATTACAGAACAACAGTTCTTAAGTCTATAATCTTATCTTATTTCCAGATAAGAAAACAGTTTTACAGAAACATCCTCGGCTAAAGCGTTTGGGAAATGGAGACTGAAACTGTGGAGACAGCGACACAAACAGCACGTTTTATTATTTTATAAAACTTTAGTTTTATTTTTTATTTTTTTACATCAGTAACGGTGGCTAACGTTAGCTGTCTGGGTAACTAACTTTATTACGTGTTTATGTTTCAGTTGTGCACGTATGGTCGGTTGCTAGGTAACAGACACGATAGTTAAGGGTCGACTGTGATCGAGTAAGTGAAAGATTTCTTAATGTGAGAAGATAAGATTATTAAATTAAGATCAGATTTGCTTCTGTAATACGAATTTGTGCGAATTTTATCTTGACTTGTCAGATCTTAAGTTAAGACAAAAAGATAGGAAGTTTCTGTAATAGAGAATGGGCAACTACGTAATGGTGCATCACATTCTGGGTAGTGGTCGCCATATTTTAGGATACACGTCTTAAAACACAAATCAAGTGCAAGATTCCTTACTGGGAGAAGCTGAACAATGAAGCAAAGGAGGTCTGTTTTGAGAAAATAAAGGAAATTAATGAGCTCGATCCGAACACAGAGCAGACGGATGATCTTAACGAGCTACCGCCAGTAACATTTCCAGATGTTTTCCTATCTTGTTTGTGGTGTGAGCACTTACACACGCCAATACTTTAAAAGTTACACAGCCACTTTACTTCTTTTACCTGTTTTATTTGCACTTCAGGGTGGTTTGGTGTGAATTGCTGCGAATTGCTGCATTCTAGAGAAACATGCCAAAGCAGAATTGTTTATGGAGGTGGTGATATGAACCAGATATCAGAAGAGTTCGACCTGAGTTCCACTGTTTTGCTTCCAAGCTGGAAAGCTGAAAAAACACATTCCATTTGTGATACATTTTCCACCATTCCAGTTGATTCACCATTTCGCCATGTTTGAAACGAAAAACAACATAAACACCACTGCAAGTGCACCTCACTAACTTTACTCAGTCTCTACCATAGCTATGGTGTCCTAAAATCCCACAGCGACTTGTGGTGTTCGTTTCCACTGACGTCACAATCCTACTCTCTATACAGCCCCAGGTTTCTGTGCACGCTGTTCAGGTTGATTTGGAACCAGATACCCTCACTGTGTTATTCACACTCTGGACTCTGGGATAATATAGTGTTTGGTCTTGACTTGGTCTTCATTTGTCCACGTCTTGGCCTTGACTACGTATTGCATCTTGTGGTCTTGACTAGAACAGACTCCAATTTTAACACCCCAAGAAATAAGAAGCAATCTCAGTTCTTGTCATTTGCTGTACACTAATCAGGTCCATTACTGATGATCATTCAAATGAATTGGTGATAAATAAATAGGGTAAATGCACAACATTTTAAACCATAAAATTCATGTCCCATGCTTTTGTATTTGCATTAGTTAATTATTAATTTCATCTCTGATCACAGTCAGAACAGTATGGCACATTTTGGACTCTGAACTCAGTCGGCTGGTACAGTCGGCTTGCACGCTTCAATTTCTTCTTTCATGCACTTCATACAACCTAAGGTAATTATAATAACATTTATATCGTAGTTCATTCTAAAATCACATACTTTGAAAATGAATGGGTAAGGTTAGGCTTGTTGATATGTGCTAGAATAATCTGTGATAGTCTTGTGAGTGAAATAGGACAGAACCTGAAGTATCACAGAGTATGTGCTTGGTGTTCTACGAGCTTTTATGAATAAGAATCAAAAACCTGCATGAACCTCAGTTCTATCATATGTTCATCATAACATTTGTATAAGAAATAATCTGCCTTATGTCTCATATGAGCGGTCAAATTAATAAATACTTATTACTAATCTGTGTGTTTCTTTTAAAGGTACAATGAACTCTGTTTTGCATAAGAGACAATCCTCCATTGTTGGACTATTTCTCTCTTTGTCTGTCTTCATCCTGAGCTGTGAGAGCGGCAAAGTTCTGGTTTATCCAGTGGACGGCAGTCATTGGGTCAACATGAAGGTGCTGATCGAGGAGCTGCACTCCAGGGGTCATAACATCACTGTGATCCGACCCAGTTCCAGCTGGTACATCACAGAACGCTCCCCTCTATATACGTCTATCACAGTCCCTGATGGAATTGACAGTTTGGGTGACTTTATTGAGGAGTACTTTAATAAGATGTTAGAAATCCAGAGAGGGAAAGCGTCCACTCTGGCATTTTTAAAGGTTCAAATGAATTTTTTCTCCATGGTCTCAAATGCACATTTAATTGCATGTAATACAGTGAGCAATATCATTGAGGATAAGGAGCTGGTTAAGAGGCTTCAAGATGAACAATATGACCTTGTTCTGACTGATCCAGCCATCACAACTGGCGTTGTCTTGGCCCATTACTTGAAGTTACCTCTGGTACTGAATGTGCGTTGGATCATCAGCAGTGAGGGTCACTTTGTCATTGCACCTTCGCCACTGTCCTACATCCCTGCACCAGGCGCTGGCCTCTCAGACCAAATGACTTTCTTTCAAAGAGTTAAGAACAGCCTTTTCTATGCAATTGTTCTTTTCCAAGATAGATTTGTGGTGGGGCCACATTACAAAGCTCTATGTGATAAATACTTTGACGAGGACTGTGACATTGTAAGCCTTCTCCAGGAGGCTGATATTTGGCTCATGAGGCTTGACTTCGTGTTCGACTTCCCCAGACCCACCATGCCGAATGTTGTTTATATGGGTGGATTCCAGTGCAAGCCCGCAAAGCCCCTCCCTGAAGACTTGGAGGCTTTTGTGCAGAGTTCAGGAGAACATGGCTTCATCATCATGTCTTTGGGAACAATGATAAATAGTCTCCCAGCTGAAACAGCTGGAGACATTGCTGCCGTGTTTGCAAAACTACCTCAAAAAGTCATCTGGAGGTATCTGGGACCAAAGCCTTCCACTCTGGGAAACAACACTCTGCTGGTGAACTGGATGCCACAGAATGACCTCCTGGGACACTCCAAGATCAAGGCATTTGTAGCCCATGGAGGAACCAATGGAGTCCAGGAGGCCATCTACCACGGAGTACCTGTGCTCGGCATCCCTTTGTTTTTCGATCAGTTTGATAACCTCGTCCGGATTCAAACAAAAGGAGCTGCAAAAGTTCTCAAGTTGTCTCAACTGAATGGCCAAACTTTTGAACAGATGCTACTGGAAGTTCTCAATGATGACTCTTATAGGACCAACATGCAGCGACTCTCCAGTCTACACAGAGACCAGCCTATGAAACCTCTAGACTCAGCTGTCTTCTGGATTGAGTATGTTATGAGGAATAAAGGAGCCCCTCACCTGCGCACAAAGGCCTATAGGATGCCTTGGTACTCCTACCATTCAGTGGACGTGATTCTGTTTCTGCTTAGTATAGCAGCAGTGCTGACATTCACCACAGTAGTATTCATCAGATGTGTCTGTCGTCGAGCGTGTGGTAAAAGAAAAATGAAAAATGAGTGAAAAGGGGAACTACCAGTAATGTTCTGCACTCAAATTAAGCACAATCCTGGAGAACCGCAGGACAAAACTGATTTTTTCTGTAGAAAATAAATTATACTATGTTAATCCTTTTTTAAAAATTACTAAATTTTCATTTGATATGATGCAATTTGACCTTTACTAACATTTTGAATTTTTTTTTTTTTAACATCTACTCTCACCTAAAATCAGAAATGAATAATCAGTCAGGATTACCTAAAGAAATACAATGTCCACTGCAGCTGTACAGTTTTACTGTCGTGTCATATATTCCGCAATCACCTTCAGTAAATAGTAATAAAATGTCTATTACATTAAAGGTTGTACCTCCATTCATCCTGGTTTTATTTTGCTCATGACTTGTACTCAGAATTGAAAACTGATTATTGATGATGTAAAAGCAAGCATGACTCACTTTCTTCTCCAACTGCTGTTTCTCACCTCGTCCCCGTGTGTGCGTCACTCACTGGAGTCTTGGTGCTCATCGTAATGCACAGATCTGATTGGCTGAGCAGCGTCGCGTCATATTTACAATGCATGCAATTGGTCCGTGAGTTTCCCGGGTTGCTAAAGCGGCACCGTAAAGGCTAGAGAGGTTACACAGATTAAAAAACTATTTTTACTTTTATTTTTATTTATTTTGTTTTTTTTTCTTTCTTTTATTTGCACAATTTAAAATATACACAAATAGACTAAACATACAGTGCAGGGAGAGGCAAAAACCTTAATAGGCTTATATAAAGCCTCCACCTAAATAACAATAAAATTACATGAAAAATGCAAAATAGTATACAACATAATGACAAAACAAATCTCAAATTACTTAAATATTAAACAAAAATATTTGAATATGAATGTGCGTTGTGTATGCGCACAGAAGCGTCCATGCATATATTAAATATAGGTACATATGTTTGTATAAATCTATCATTTCATAATCATATTAACTTATAAGCAGTAGTAAAAATAAACATCACAATAAATGAAGCAAATAAAACAACAGAAGAACAACTACAGTACAGATATTAAATGATCTTAAAATGTCTTTTATAAGATTTTAAAGAACAATTTTTTTGCCAAATGGGAAAGCCTATTCCATATTTTAGTGTCCCTAAATCTAATGAAAATTGACCTCTACAAGTGAGAAATTTAGGAGGATGAAGACCTGAAGACGAGTTGAATATGGATGAGCATCTGAATTTACTATGAAATAATTTTAAACTGCTCTGGAATGTTCCCTTCACTTGAATATATCTTGTAAATATAAACACCTATTTGAAAAATATTGATATTATAAATTGTAAGAATTTGAAGTTTCTGAAATAAAGGAGCAGATGACGTATATAAATCTGATCGGGTCGCAATCCTAACAAAACGTTTCTGAAGGACCCAAATTTTATGAAGAGTGGTGGAGAAAGTACTTGCCCACACTATATTACAATATGAAAGATAAGGATAAATTAGATTATAATAAAGAGTAAGAAGACAATTTATGTTAACCAGATGACCAACCTTCCTTATAATACCAATAGATTTATTTATTTTTCTGCTAACCCAGTCTATTTGTTCTCTCCAACCCAGTCTCATCAACAATAATTCCTAAAAATTTTGTAGTTGACCCTTGAGGGATCTCAACAGATTCAATTATAATTTTATATAAATTCTTAGAGTATAATTTTTTACCACTACAAATGATGAAATTAGACTTTTTTATATTTAAAGAAAGTTTATTTAATCTAAACCATGTAGTACAGACATTTAAACCAACATTAACCTTAATCAATGTGTTAATTTAAATGTGAAGCGACAAGGGTTGTGTCGTCTGCAAACATGATTGGAGAAAGAATATTTGAAACATTAGACAAATCATTAATATAAATAAGAAATAATACTGGTCCAAGAATGGATCCCTGAGGAACCCCAAACAATAATCTAGTTTTGCTGGAATAGCAACCCTTAATATAAACAAACTGCCTTCTGTTTAAAATATAATTTTTTAACCAGTTGTATGTAATATCCTGAAAACCATATTATATAATATATAATATTATATAACTTTTTCAACAATATCTGATGGTTAACTGTATCAAAAGCTTTTGAAAAGTCTATAAAAGTACTACAAACAAATAAATTTTCTTCAAGTGCAGAGGTAACTTCGATCAGGTGAAGAAAAGCCATACAAGTAGAATGATTTTTTCCAAAAACCATATTGATGTTTATAAAGAATTGAATTAGCATCTAAATGAAAAAGAATCCTTTTATATCTTATTTTTTCTAATATCTTTGAAAAACATGGCAAAATTGATAGGTCTATAATTATTAAAACAACATGGATCACCTGCTTTAAACATAGGAATAATCTTGGCAACTTTTAAGTCCTCTGGCACAACACCTGATTTCATAGACAAAAAGAAAGTGGCTGCAATATTGATTGCTTCACCTGCTTGACAAGGAATGCAGAAATATTGTCAAGGCCAGCTGAGGAGATTTTTAATCCATCAATTATGTCACTTATTTCTTGGATATCAGTAGATTTAAAAGAAGAAATAATAGGGAAATTTCTTGTAATAAAATCCAATGGATTACCACGACAAATAGGAATATTGTTAGCTAATTCATGACCAATATTTACAAAACAATTGTTAAATTTCAGTGCTATATGAGATAGATCATTAAGAGAATTTACCATCTAACATAACTGAAGGCACCTCTATAGAAGTCTTTTCTCTTTGTAACAATTGATTTATTATTTTCATTTGTGTCATTTGAGTACCTCAAATTTTTCACTGAAATATCTTTTTTGCGGCTCTAATAGAATGGATATACTTATTTCTATGGAATTTATAGACACTATGTGTAAGAGGAGTTGGATTTACCATATATTTTCTATACAATTTATTTTTTTCTCAACATCTTCAATAAATCAACTGTAAACCAAGGCTTTTTGAAGTCTTGAGTATATTTCTTACTGGAAGTGCCAATTGGAAAACATTCATTGAAGCTAAGACTAATAACTTTCATAAACTTTTGGTATGCAAAATCAGCATTATTTTCCTCATATATTTCATTCCATGAAGTATTAGCAAGCATGTCTTTTAAATTTAGAAATATTTGATGTACTCATTCATTTGCGTATTATTTTCTTTGAATTTTTAGTTTTATTAATGTCAATCAAAGAGTACTGAAAAATGAGAAAATGATCTGATAAATCAGAAATCAGTACTCCAGATTTCACCACTTCATTCAAAGAATTAGTTAAAATATTATCAAAGTTGCTGAATTTCCTTTAACTCTTGTAGATTTATAGATGAGAGGAAAAAAAATAACTAGAATAAAGAATATTAAGAAAATCTCCAGTAGGGCTATCTACTTTTATTTTTAAAAAGATTTATATTAAAATCACCTAAAATATAAAGTTTATCATCCATATTTATCACACCAACAATAACATTCTTTCTGTTAAAAGTACCAGAAAGCTCCAAAAAAGCAGATTCTATCTCAGCCCTATCCGATTTCAAATGAGATCATCCCTAATTTTAAATTCATAATCCTCATGAATAAACAGAGATACTCCACCTCCAGATCTATTTTCTCTTACATAATGAGCCGAGTTATATTTAGGAAGTTTAACGATATCCTTAGAATTCTCTGTAAGCCATGTTTCTGATAAAGCAATAACAGAAAAACAATGTTTAAGTGTAGATAAATAATGAAAAAACTTATCATAAATACAGGAAAGACTTCTTATATTCAAATGAAGAGTAGAGAGCATATTAGAAGGCATAGAAACACAAATCATTAAACTGGCTTTCATTATAAAAGGTACAAACATTGGAGGCATCAAATGAGGAAAAAAAATGTAAGTCTGGGTCAACTTCAAAATTATAAGAGTTACTTTTAGAGAGATCAAATGGCTTGAAAATCTGACCCTCAAAATCACATTTGTTGTTGTCCATAATGCAAACAAAAACAATGTGGTATAAATATGTGAACCAAACAAGCACTGTGTAAATATTCAATAATGAAAATTAATGAGCTAAATTCTCAGCACTGACCTTTTTTTGTTGTGGTGGATTTTGAATTGGTGAATGAACAATGACCCTCTCTCTCGAGCTGCCTTCATTGCTGGGAGTGGTTCTTTCCTTCTCTGTCGGACAACTTCAGGGAAGTCCTCATTAATAAAGATGTCTGAGCCCTTCAAAATTTTAGCTTTTATCCAGAACAGCAAATTTGTCCTTCAACCGCAGGAATCTGACCACAATCGGCCGGGGCTTTCCTGAACACGATGTTGGTTTCCCAGTCCTATGAGCCAAATCCGATATTTTCAAATGATCCAGTTGTAGTTTTTCTCTAAACAACTTTCTCACTTTTTCTTCAGATTCAGATACCTTTTCTTTGATAGACTCTTTGATGCCATGAACAACAATATTATGTTGTCTTGATTGGCCCTCCAAATAGTCTGTCTTGTCTGAGATTGAAATCAAACTTTTACAGATGGTGTCTAAATCTGCCCTGGTTTCATTACTGTTCTTGGACCAAGTTTTACATGAAAGTTTGAAATCATCAAATTCCTTTTGAGTCATTTCTAAACTCACCTTGAGATCATAGACTTGCTTTGACAGATCATCATCAATCCACCTGTTTGAAGAATCAACTATGATCTGTACACAAGTGTTAAAGCTCTTTTCTTGCTGTTCAAGCAAAGTTCTGTAAAAATCTTTTTGCTGGTCCAACAATTCATGCATTTGAGTCATGGTGACATATTCCTCAGTAGTGTTATTAGAAGGTTTAGGTGGCATGTTTTGATCATCCAATGTCAAGGCCCACTAGGCCCAAAGTTCAGCAAAGTAGAGCCAGAAGCCTCCACAAAATACTTGCAGTGTCCACAATTCTGATAGAAAGAGTTAACTTGACTCTTCCTAATTCAACCAACAGCAAAAGTTCAAGGATTTGGGTAGGATTCCTCAGATTGTTATTAGATAGAAGAAAAGCCTACAGCATCCATGAGCCACCAAGGCCCAAAGTTCAGTTGAATTGGGCTAAAAGCCTCCACAAAATAGAAGAAATCACAAATTTCATATAAGGTGTTGAATTTGACTCTCTTCAATTCAACCAGCAGTATTAATACAAAGTTCCTCTGTCAGTGGAGGCATTTGTCTCAGTGGAGACAAATGCAGGAAGGCTGATTTTGTTGATGGTAGCACAGTTATACAATGTGTCAGTGTCCCGCTCCTCTAGGAAGTCCGGCGGCTGCCACTGTCCCCTGATACAGGGAGTGCTGCTGTAGCAGAGGCTGCTGTGTTGCATGGGGTGAGGGATGCTGGTGTTGCCACA